ATATTATTTATATTCGTTTTTATTAAATCAACCGCATCGCTCGTTGTCCACATCGTTGAGTTACGTTCCCAAAAAAATGGCAGGATTGTCACTATTTATGGCAATACTGATTTTCTGTTTGAAGAAATAACCATATTTTTGAAAACTGAATGCTCGCAATAACACTTCATCATCTACTGCTGGACATAGGCCACTCCAGTAACAAAAGACCACGATCTTCAGTCGTTCTCATCCAACCGTTGCCTTTACGGTTATCGTCACTAGATGTAGGGTGTCCTACACTACGTTTGCCTACACGCGGTCTCCACTCAAGAACACGTTTACCACAATGGTCACCGGTTCTTAGGCAAATGAGACTGGCCTACTGCCACTTCAGTTTAACTAATTCTATAGTGCTTTGGGCTTGAATCACTTCGTTTCGTATTCGAACATCCTACAGAAAAAAACACATTGCTATTATCGTAATTTAGTTTTTGCAATCGCATATCGAAATCACTCACATAGCTTAGTAATTACAAATCAAACAACAGTAAAAATTGTTCAACTGTAATATCCTTAGATATAGTAACAAAAAAAAAATCTGTGCAAAATTTATTAGGCCCAAAGGCCGTTGCCGACTTGTCTTGCTTTTGACCCTGTCATACAAGACAATCTGACGTCATTAGAATAAAAACACGTTGTATACCACAATTAATACACGATTATTTTGCATAATTAATTCTGTAATTCTGAAGGTCAGAAATTTGCGAAGGGGTCTGTTCACTATCAGATTTTTTAAATAATTTTAACATTAGATTGTTTTTTTTATGGCATTTAAGCCGGTAAACGAGCAGACGGATCATCTGATGGTAAGCAATCGGCGTCGCCCATGGACACCTGGAACACCAGAGGCGTTACAAGTACCTTACCTGCCTTTTGGGGATCGTTGGGGATTCAGGAATTGGGATATTGGGAAAGGGGAGGGTAGTTAAGCACCCGGCATGGCAACCTCAGTCACATGACGAAACACAACACAAGCGTTGAAAACCACACTATAAAAATTCACAGTATGGCCGAAGATCGTCCCGCGTTCCTAGGACGCCCGAAGTGTCCTTCGCGACGGCTGCATTGTGAGGAGGCGGCACTTTGCTGCACCACGCGCCCCTCTTCCTTCTTAGCTAGCACAACTGCTTTGCAAAAGTAAGAAATATTAATAGGTTAGGATAGGATGAAATGTGGTACTCTTACTAAAAATACAATGTCAACCCATTCAGTCATTTGTTTCTAAAATTATTAAAAATCTTTTGTATAAAAATTATTGCGACAAGTATCGATTTTTTTTGAATAAAATGGTTGTTTCATAACACTCTTTTGTTAAATTGTAAATATAAGTATATTTATAATTTAATGATAAAATTTTCATCATTCTATGCAAGCAAACATATTAAGCAAGTATCTACTGCCTATCTGCCTTTGGGAATAGCAACTTTGGCTTCGCTCGCGTCACAAAAGGATAAGAAGTAGCCTATGTGACATATATCAATACATACAGCGCCATCTATACCAATACTTTTGTTTTCCCTCGGGAATATCATATTTTTCCGGGATAAAAAGTACTCTATTATTTAATCCAGTCTTCTAACTTAACGTCTGCAAAAATTCAAAGCAATCGGTTTAGTAGTTGCGGCGTGAAATCGGAACAAACAAACTCATTTTCCGATTTATAATATTAGTAATTACTAAGAATAATTCATTAATACACAAGAAATATCTCGCCTAAGCCGAAAAAAAAATATAAGATCGTATCAAATCAAATGTACGTCATTTTAATTTGCATAGAAAACCATTATGTCAATGCCAATAATTTATTTTATTGGCGCGGATTTTCCGGACTTTGGTTCATTTTAAACAGGTTTTTCTTCATGGTATGTTAATATTAAATTTAGTTCCGAGAAAAATTGTCAATGTTAACTCATCTTCATAATTAATTCAATCGTTGGCCGAGTGGTCACAATTTCGCGGTTTCGTTTCCCGGGTCGGGCAAAGTATTACTGGGTTTTTAAAAAAAGTTCTCAGTAGTAACACGAAGTCTGGAATTGTGCCCGGTATATGGCAATAGGTTCACCCCCTATTACATGGGATTCATAACATAAATTGTGAAAAGTGGGTGTTACATTGTACAGTGTATAATGTGTACCTCTGCCTACCCCTTTAGGGATAAAAGGCGCGATGTTATTAATCTTTTTATAATGAATTCAATTAATTATCACATTTTTAAGGATTTCTTGGTGTTTTACTTTTGTCGCTATAGTAACTGGGCGACTGGCTGCTGCATAAGTAGTGGGTCCGATTCCCACCGGTACAATTATGTGTATAATCCCCAAATTGTTGTCCAGGACTGCATGTGAAGTGTGTGTGTTTTTACAGAATACATCTTAGTGTACCTTTATAACAAATTAAATAAAATGTAATAATGAACGAACCAAAATCTAATAGCAAATTCTAACATCGGTTTTGCGATATTTTGATTAACCTTAACCTACTTTCTTGCAATTTTTAATGAATTCACGATTAACATCAGCATATTGGATCAGAAAATCACAAAGTCACAAGCATTTTTTTGAAAACGAGTTAGATGTATGACGGTCAACGGCGTGCTTGTGATGATTTTAGTTTAGTCTTTTTAAAAAACGTTGCCCCACACTAGGTTTTTCTCCTGTGTCGTGGATGCGTTTTACAAACATACAAGTTCACATACACATGACACCCAGATCCGAAACAACAATTTGTGGATCACACAAAGTGTTGTTCCGTGCGGGAATCGAACCCGCGACACGTTGCACGGCAGCCGGTTGCCCAGCCACCGCACCAACCGTGCAATCAAATTGGATTGGTAGGCTGGTTCACAGTACGTTTATTAATTTTAATGTGAACTTGAAGTTCTCACGCCATTGTGTTGACAGGCACGTAATTTAATGAAGGCTCTCATTTTCGAAATAATTATGGTTAGATAATTATTATTATTATTTCAAAGTTATTTAAAATTTACATATGGAGTGTGGATTGGGCTATCATTGTGCTGATAGTTGTGTCGGCCAATGGGTTAATTCCTGGAAGAATCGACGTTCCATTTTAGGGTGCTGGCGATATTCGGATGGAACAAGGGCCGGCAGTTCTCCTAGAAACGGCACGTATCGTGAGGAGGTTTCTGTCTCTGGAGCCCTAACTACCGGTAGCTTGGACCATGCTTCCGCTATTGGTCGGTTCCTATTTTATATATTTTTCATATTCTTTTTTTAGTTTTTGTTAAGTAGTGTTTACAAATTTATTATAGAGGATTTTAACTCGTCGAGTACCGGTTTTGTAGACACAATTATAGAACAATAGGTTGCGGTCACCGGTGACTGCTTGGTGTTTGACAGTTTAAATAAATAGGTAAATGGTGAGTAGATAATTAAATATCTTGACTTCACTCTACTTGACTGCCTTCTTGACCGAGTAGTCGTAAGTGTGACTGCCGGACAAGGGGTCTCGGCTTCGATTCCAGGGTCGGTAAAGTAAAGTAGGTAAAGTATTTTACTGGGCTTTTTAAAAAAAAATCAGTAATGGCAAGTAGACTTGAATTGCGTCCCAGAATATGGCAATAGACTCACCCCCTATTACATGGGACTCATAACATAAATAGTGAAAAGTGGGTGTTATATTGTACAATGGCAGTAAGTGCTGTAATGTGCACCTGTGCCCACCCCTTCGGGGATACGAGGAGTAATGTAATGATGTTAGTTATCTCATTTACCTCGTTTGTTAGTAAGCGATAATGCGGCCTACAATGGAACACCCATAAGGAACTCATATATTCACTCGCGCCTTGAAGAAGCACAGACTCTGGCAAAGTTTCAATCCATAGCAGCGAGACTACCAACATGAAAACATGATGTGTCATGTGGACTCGGTTATTATCGCATCGTTAGTTGCATCGGCCAATTGGTAAATCCCTTCGATAATCACTTGAGTGAGGATGCCGAAGTCATCATGACTCATAATATAAATAGTGAAAAGTGGGTGTTGCAATGAATAGTGGCATTAGGTACCGAAAAGAGCACTTCTTCCTATTCCTTCGGGGAAGACAGGCGTGATGTTATGTGTAATCCAGTACTTTAATTGAATTGGCCATTTTTTTAGTTAAATATACATATAACCTCATTATGATCGAAACTACTCAAAACCTGCTTAGAGATTCTGGCACTGAGAAACACATTTAAAAAAAACATAATACACAATAATATAATTACATAATACCAGGCGAGATAGTCAAACTTCGAGCCAAGGAATAAATAAAAAAAAATCACAATATCGTTATTTTCACAAAATATACATATTTTTTGATGTGCTATAAATAAATAACCTATTACTACACATCGCCCTCTAGACTGAAGTCGTCATTTAGAATACGCCCGTCAAGGATATCAAAATTAATATAATATTAGTGTATTTCATAGTCGTTGCCCCGCCATTCGGAAACGCGCTTTACAAGCTATAACCGTGTTGGGTTGTCCAATATATTGAGAGCTGTGTCACCGCTAAGTGACAACGCTTATTAGACAAATTAATAACTTAAAAAAAAAATAACAACGTATATTTCTTTCCGATTGCTTGAACTGCGTTTTGTGAAAAGGTGACATAGGTTCACTTAGGGTATGTAGATTGAGTAGCAGATTTTTTTAAAGAAAAATTTGCTGAAGCTATCTTCCTGCAAAAAGGTTTGAAAAAATGAATATTGAAGTGAATGGGCACGGTTAAAATTACTAAATCAAATTTTGTCAATTTTCTTATGCGATAAACGATTTAAGAAATCATCGTATTATAGGTGCATGAAAACAATAATTCTTAGTATATCGTAAATACGTTTTAACACAATAAACACAAATCAATTTTACTCGAAAACATTAAAAACATTGATACGAGTAAAATCAGTATTCAGTCTACTTTTTCTATTTTTTTTTTCGCAAACATTTTTCATTTAAAACCTGCGCAATACAATCAGTATCCCAGTCTCAATCTTCAAAACAAAAAAAAAACAAAAACTTCAAAAAAAGTTGTACCCTCAACTGACGTCACCAGGGTTACTAAACCAGTTATAGTCATAATTTGTTAGCAATCACTTCATACATAAATAGAAGATTTTGTGTTATTCGGGCTCAGATCGTTGTTAGGCTTGCAAAATGTACATAGCTGTGGGGTTGGTGTTATTATGTATCGTGGTGCTCGCTGTGTGGACTACGTGGTTCAGGCAGAAACCTGATGCACCTCCTATGATGCCAGGTTTTCTCCCGATAATAGGACATTCACATCTCATTTTCGGAGACCGTAAACGTAAGTGTTTTTTTGTTAATAGTTTTCTTTAATAATAGTTCTTTATTCTAATGATTATAGTTACACTAAGCCAGATAAGTAAATTCCTGCAATTATTTTTTTTTAAATTTAGAAATGCTATACTTATCTAAAATAGACTTATCGCATGTCAAGTAAAAATAATAAGTTTTTTAATTCATAATTATTTAAGCTGGGGTAATATAAAAATATAATATTTTTTTTCGATTGGTGAAAGCAATTTTTAAACGGAGCCGCGGTGGGCTTTACGGGCTTCCGGATCTCTGGTTTGAAGTGCAGGAGTAGGAACGGGGTGGTTTTTAGTCAATAAGAGTCTGACACTCCCTCTCACCTAACCCAAGGTGGGAAAAGTCAATGAATGAGTTTCCCCCTCAAAAAAAAGCCGGAAAAACGTACCTATTCATAAATTATTTTCTGTTAATAAAGAAAAATGTATGGTAAAGTGTGCTCAGTGTTAATTTTGACCATTGCAAAAGACTTATTTTATTTTTACAAAAAAATATATTATTTTTGTCTAATCTGGACTTTTTAATTTTTTTTCATGTTTTTTGTCTATTATCGTAAATGTATTGAAATTATTTGAATAAGTTTTTTTTTATTTTATCTAAAAAAAACTTGTACTTTTCCCTCGATATTGAACTTAAAATCTTTTGTTACGATCACAGTTCATTGTAAATGAATCAAACTCCCTTAAGTTTAATTACGACACTTGTTGCTGTACGCCGTCCTAATAAAATAATTGCAACGGTTCAGATGTACGTAAAAATTCATAAATAATTACCACTAAATTTTGCCGAAATGGCTGGACGGATCTTAACGATATTTTTCCTATTCCAATAGATAATTTTTGCTCTAGAACTGCACACGAAACATCAAAACGTTTAAAATATATACACAGTTTTTGAAATAGGAAAACATGGCTTTTTTTTAAGGGGGGAAAATCATCGAATCACTGCTCCCGCCTGGGTGAGGCGGAAGGGAGTGTCAGACTCTTACTGACTAAAAACCACCCCGTTCCTTCTCCTGCACGCCGAGCCGGAGCCCCGGTTACCCGTTAGGTTCTCCGCTACTCCGAATCGGCAACAGCCCTATTGGGCCCCATCTGTGGTGGTCTGATGGCTCTTTGAGCTCGCTCACGCTCGGGTCTGTTTCTGGTCGGACGGGGAGCCACCCATGCTCGCCGTCCGCAGTCCCGCGCTTACGGTGGCCGGAGATCGTCCGGCGATCCCCGACGCCCGGTGTGTCCTTCGCGATGGCTGGGTTGCGAGGAGGTAGCGCTTCGCTGCCTCACGCGTCCCGCTTCCTCCTTAGCTAGCATGACTGCTAACGTCATAAAACATAGCTAACGTCATACAGGTGCTTAATTCTCTGACGAAAAAAGCCTCCATAATACTTATGTGCAGTAGTACTATGATCTGCTTTCAAATAAACATAACATACATTTAATATGAATACTATAACCGATTACTTATGTAAGCTAAACATGTTGCATCGATAACCATATTATTATTGAGTTCGGCTTTATTATTGCATAGCTGATCTACTGTAATGAATAAAGCAATTTTTGGAATTAATTTTCGAAATTCTTTTTTTCGATTGGCGTAGTAGATGTAAGAAAGGCGAACGGTGCGGGATATTGCCATATATCCCACACGATATAATTATGTTAACTATCAAGTAGAAATCTTAGTGTTTTTCGTCATTACGTAGAGTTTTGGGGAGACTCTGATAGAAATAGATAGAAGCTTTTACAACCACTTTTCACTAGTCAGCAATGATATTATATTAAATATCATTATATCATTATCATTATTAGAATATCATTGCTAGTCAGGTATTATAAAGGTCTCCCCACAATTATACGCAGAATTGGCTTAGTGTGAGTGCGCACCACCACACTATTCTACTTATTACCGAATCGGCTTGTTTCGCCATCGGCCGGCGGCGGTGTCGCGACGAACGACGACGACGCCGCTGCGAATGGTATAAGTAACACCTTTATTACGTAGACATAAAGGTTTTTTTGACCAGTGTTCGCCGATTGCGTGTCGATAAATGTGGGGAGACCTTTACCATATCTGACTAGTGAAAAGTGGTTGTTACTGCTTTTATCTATTTCTTAACGATTGCCCCATAATAGGCTATTGCCACATCCTTCATTCCATGCCTTTAACAATTTGTGGATCAAAAAAAAGTTCCGTGTGTGAATCGAATCCGTGACAAGATACGTGAAAGCTAGTTGCCCAGCTAACACGCCAACAGTCAGTCAAATTATAAATGTTAAAAATCTAAAAATCATTTAAATCATTTAAATTACTTCACATAGGTATCAATCTCGACATCTTAACGTGGCGGTTGCGTTTATTTGACCGTGAAAATAATTAATGACAGGCTTTTAAATTGTTTTTTTTTACGATATCAAGGAAAAAAATTATGCAGCTCATAAAATTACCATTAACCTTATGTTAAATTAATAAAATTTATCTTGTTTGTGGCTATTAAAATAAATAATAATAATCAATATTTTACTATGCCAACTAATTATCATATTTTAAACTGACGGTCAAAGGGCAAACTCTGAAAACTTTGGAATATACGCTACATACCTTCCGTTCCAACTGTACAGTTGTAACTGTACAGTCAAATCGTAAGGTGTTTAGAGTAAACAGTTGAACTGTACCTAAGTGTGGGAGAGCCATGCTTCGGCACGAATTGTCCGGCTCGACCGGAGTGATACCACGGCCTCACAGAAGACCGACGTGAAACATCGCTTGCGTTGTTTCGTCGTGTGAGTGAGGTTATCGGAACCGCATAATATTTTATGTTAGAGTTATTTTATTTGTTAGTTGTTATTTGTGAGTTGAGTTTAAAATTTTTTTCTTTATGGCATGAATTGGGTACTTTTATCATAAATAAATTACCGCGCGTCATTTTGAAATTAACACTAAAAGTAAAATAAATATTAAAAATTTTAATAATCGTCCATTTCCGCCTATTCTTTTGTTTGACATAAATGTTGGAAATGATCTGTTATTAAACCTTATACGAAATTGTTGTCGATTTACAATCACCCTATGTATAAAAAAGCATACATTGTCATTATAAAATGATAACATATTCTGTAAAATCAAATTTCCAAAATGTAAATATATGATAAAATATGTCATTTTAGTAGAGCTACATCCTTGCAAATTTTGCTTCGTGAAATCTAGATTTTAACCTTGACATTAATGCATACATTAAAAATTTTTGATATGCCTTTTTTTTGTTCTAATTATAATGAAAAAGGAAAAATATATACCTCATTTATTTCGTATATTATGTGAAATGAAACACTACATAGAGGGGGAATTATCAAAATCGATGGTTAAATTAAAAAAAATGCTTAATAGTAAAATCTTTAGTGACCGTGACGACATTTCTAAATTGTTTTCATAATTTTTAAAATTCGAACCGAGAGAGAGCTACTATAAACTCACCACTCAACTACAATACTAGCGCAGTGTGAACAAGGTATTACGACATCTAATGCCAGTTTGCCAACCTCTTTTAAAAAATGAAAGCTTTGAGATAGGTGACACTTTACTTAAGTCAAGACAGTTAACGATATTTTGGTTTTCACATACCCAAATAAGACGTGCACAGATTGGTTTAGATTAGTTCAGAAGCTCCCATACGCTAAGTAACTCTTAGTTAAACGGTGACTAGTCTAGTCGATTCCTACGACATCTGCCGGAAGAGTATGTTCAATTTACCTTTATTACACAGCATTCAGCTAATACTATTGTATATTTAATGTTTCAGATCTCTGGTACTTCATAAAACATATCAACGAATTATCTTTCGAGCATGGAGGAGCTATCGAGCTTTGGTTGGGCGCCCAGAGGTTTTATGGTATGTTGACTTTATAAAACTTAACTATGTACGTCACAAAGTGTAATATTCCACCATAGTACCACAAGACAATCGGCGAAGCATCACCGTTTCATAATAAATGTCCCACCCACACGCACGAAGCGCTTCGCATCAAGTTTCCTTGTGTGCACTGCTAAAGGGTGGAATTCTTTGTCAGAGTCTGTATTTCCTGAAGGGTTTAACCTGGGTGTCTTCAAGGCCTGTGTGAATAGGTTGCTTATGGGACGACGTGCTCCATCATATACCGCATCATTGCTTACTACCAGGCAAGATAGTGGTCAAACGTCGGCTCATCAAATATATGCATATAAAAATATAATAATATTTTTTATTGACTCCAATATAGAACGCCTTTTATCCCCGAAGGGGTAGGCAGAGGTGCGCATTATGCCACTTTACAATGTAACACCCACTTTTCACTATTTATGTTATGAGTCCCGTGTAATAGGGGGTGAGCCTATTGCCATATACCGGGCACAATTCCAGACTCCGTGCTACTACTGAGATTTTTTTTAAAAACCCAGTAATACTTTGCCCGACCCGGGAAGCGAACCCGAGACCCCTTGTCCGGCAGTCGCACTTGCGACCACTCGGCCAACGAGGCAGTCAGTAATCTTAATAATACAAAAAACTAATTAAAATTTTTGTTTTCTATTACAGTATTATCCGATCCTGAAGATTGTCTTACACTGGCCAACACGTGCTACAGCAAACCTTACATCTATGACTTTGCTAAGGATTTCTTAAACAATGGACTGATTACAGCTGAAGGTGAGTGTGAAAAGTATTCCGCATATGGTTTGTCTAAGGAGGTCGAAGTCGGTACTATCAACTAAAAATGATGACGTCAAAATGATGTCTTAAAATGATGACTTAAAATGATGACGTCATTAATGTAGACGTCACATTATTTGTGCTACTGGTCATCTGCTAAGGAGTTCTCGTCCAGAATAAAAGTAAAACAAAAAAGAGGGTTTATTTGGTTTATTTTACGAAGTAACAATAATCAGAACTTTGAACAGTAATGCGGTTGAATTGACGAAAAGGTAACGAACAAAGTGTGATGGTATTTATATTCTGGCGAGTAATATTTTTTTTACTTTGTAATGTAGATATTAAATTATTTTAATCACAATATTTGTAAATGGTATTGACCAAACAATTAATTTCATTACTTACTATTATATTTTTAATATATAAAAGTTCAATAATAGGTAGCTGAAATTCTTCGTCAAAACAAAATCAGCCAAAATAGAGGTTTATAAATGCGGCTTAAGACATTTATTTCTCAAAAACAATTTACATTGACTTGACTGTGAAATACAAAATATACATAGGTAAGTAGATAGGTATATAACAAATATTTTCTTTTTTTACAGCCCCTGTTTGGAAATCTCATCGTAAATTATTAAATCCGGCATTCAACCAGCAAGTATTGAACACATTCGTCGATGAAATGAACAAACAAGCTCGAAATCTTGTTTCGAATTTGAGCAATGAATTGGGCAAGACGCCTTTCGACATCAGACATTACTTGGTCAACTTCACACTATCTACTGTTAGCCGTAAGTAACTTTGTCAAATCTTCATTAACCCTTTGAGTACCGTCATTTCATCACCGACAGTTCAAACTGTCAAACACCGCGAGGACATCGGTGACCGCAGCCTATTGTTCTATAATTGTGTCTATAATGACGGTACTCGACGAGTTAATTACGAAAATAAGCATTGTCATTTAACGTGGCAATGCTGCCAGTTTTCTGGGTTCCCCAGTGACAACGATGCGGACGAATTTTTTGACGCCTTATCTGGAATTTCGTTTATTTTATCTTTTTTTATTCGCTGTTTTAGTTTTAGTTATCTTTAAATTGTATATATGCATTCATAATTGTGTTGCAAACCTACTAATTATATTATTGTCTAAATGTGAAAGAAATAAAAAGAAAAGCAAAACTAATTCAGACATGTTTTTTTAGAATTTTTGTTTCGGTCTGCGAGAAAGCCGTTAGTAAAAGATTTAAAAAAATATTTGTATAGGTATCTAGATTTTTACATAAAGGTAAAAATATAAAAGTCAATCTTTTTATTATATTTTACCCGACTGTTAGTAGAAAAGATATTGTTTCTTTCCATATGACATTTATTTTTTTATAAAACAACATTTTACGTTTCAGGTACTTCACTAGGTCTAACAGCCAAAGAACAGAAGATAATAGACCGAGAATACGCTGAGGCTATTGAAGATTTATTGGCTCTGTACTGTGACAGAGCCCAGAAAGTGTGGCTGCATATTGGCTGTGTGTTCAAATGGAGTGAAATGAAACGCAAACAAGATAGGCTGACTAAAACTTTGAAGAATATCATTAATCCCGTAAGTGTGTTTTCTAGTATATTGATTGGCTATAGAAAATTTAACTCATTTCATTCCAATTAGAGCATCAACAGCATAAATGCCCACTGCTGAGCAAAGCCTCTTCTCACACGGAGAATTTGAGCATTAATCACCACGCTTGCTCAATGCGGGTTGGCGAATACAAATTATAAGCCCAGGTTTCCTCACGATGTTTTCCTTCGCCGTTCGTCAGTGGTGTCTAGATAATCTAAGAAAGTACATGTTGTAACGTTGTACATGAGTTTACAATAATAAGTATCGATAATAATTAAACATGAGTTAAAGATTAAAACTACTTAAGAAATCGTTGGGTCTTGAAATTACGTTTAATTTTGTTTATTTATATTTACAGGTTATATTGAAAAGGAAATCCGAAATGAAGAACATACCAGAACCTACGCAATATGAATACACAAATGGTAAATAATATATTACTGCATTAAATTTAGAACTTTATTATGGACTAGCTGTGCCCGCGACTTCGTTCGCGTAGAATAGTGACTATGAGCAGGGTTTTTTTTTAAATATATACTTATTTTTATTTTAGATTTGGATCATAATCACAGTCATTTTGGGTAGCTAAAAAATCTACTTTACTGTAATGCTTCTCTATATACAATATTAGACGTATGGCCATCGGGGGTGAAAGCATACAGGCTGCTGGGATTGCTAACACGGGACAGAGCCACATACAATTGACCGTGCGAAAAACAGCTGATACTTAGATCTATACCCACAACTTTTAGAGTCTGACCTTGAGCTTTATTAATTGTCATGGCGAAACATAGGCTCACTGGAAACTGAATTCGTTTAAAATTAAACGGAAATTTTTTTGGAATGAGAGGAATCTGAGGAATAAAACCACTATCACCTTTTCCGCACCCTGTTAAATATATATATATTTATAAGCCATTTCTGAGATTAGCGTGAACAGACAAACAGACAAAAAAAAAGTTAGTTACATTTTTGGGTTCGAAATCGACATAACAATAGCCCCTGCTATTTTTTTTATTTTTATTTCAATGTACAGACAGCACTTTTCTATAATTTTATTATATGTATAGATAGATAGATAGTGATCGACGTGATTCTTTAATTTGACGTAACTTTTTTATTATGAACCGATTGACATGAAACAAACACTAAAGCATAACTGAAGCATACCACAATATATTCGTGAAAACCGCATCCAAATCGGATCAGCCGTTTCTGAGATTAGCGTGAATAGACAAACAGACAAAAAAAAAGTTAGTTACATTTTTGGGTTCGACATCGACATAATTTTTTTATTTTTATTTTCAATGTACAGACAGCACTTTTCTACAATTTTATTATATGTATAGATTAGTGCCATTTAATTCTTGAGAATTGACTGCCTCGTTGGCAAAGTGGTCGCAAGTATGACTGCAAAAAGAGGTCTCGGGTTCGATTCCCGGGTCGCACAAAGTATTACTGGGTTTTTAAAAAAAATTCGGTAGGAGCACGGAGTCTGAAAATGTGCCCGGTATTATTACAATAGGCTCACCCGCGCTACATTGTACAGTGGCATTAAATGCCGTAATGTCAACATCTGCCTACCCCTTGGGGGATAAAAGGCGTGTTGTTATGTATTACTTGAGAAGTTCTAAAATTGACCTTTAAAATTGAACTTTGCCTCCTGTTCCACAAAATAGCTCTGTGCTTTAAAGCTGGAGAAGTTTATTTAAAATAGTCTAGTCCAAAAACATTCCAATAAAAAAAGGTTAAATTTTAAACATGCTAATAATAAAATATGTTTCAGGTAAATTCAAACCAGTGCTGGATCACATGCTTCAAATGGCACATGAGCAAAATGTTTTCTCAGACGAAGACATCAGAGAGCACCTAGACACTTTAGTAGCAGCATCATATGACACGACCTCTTCAGCCATGACCTTTATGCTGTTGGTGATTGCAACTTACCCAGAAATACAGAGTCGAATTTATAATGAGTAAGTGGACTCAGATTTAATGAACCTATAGATTCCATATTTATCGACAGAGCGAAACCTTTAAAAATGCAAAACTACCTGACAAGCGTGGCAGATTTTGGTGAATCTCCTACTCACCTTATGGCTCATAGTCTGAGACTACATGAATACGGGTTGTTTATAAAGATGATGAAGAATTGACGAATATATTTTACAATATTCATCAACTATTTCAATCTGTTCCGTGATTTCAATGTTATGAAAGCATACATATACACCACTCTCAATAGTTACCTACAAAAAACTTATTTTACTTTCTCCTATATAATCTAATTTAAATAATTATGCGTAACTAAGATAACAAATTGTGTTTTATAGGATACAAGAAGTACTGCAGAACAAAGACGATGACTTTTCAAAACACGATCTGCAGAAACTTGTGTACCTAGATGCTGTTGTTAAAGAATCAATGAGGGTGCACACTGCTGTCCCGTTTATGGCTAGAAAAGTTGACGTGGATGTTAAACTGAGTAAGTATTTTGTTAAGTATAATAAAATAGCTGCAATAAATATGAGTGTAATGTATGCACTGTCTTATCATCGTAATGATGAAGGTTGGACTGTTGGCCACCTATCAGTGGCTACCTCCCTACTACCTACTTTTAGGACATACTCTGATCCAAACCTTAATTCTTGATTATGGTTAATCTACCGTGCATTGTTTATATTTTTTTTTTTACTTTGAACTAGATCACCATTTTTGATCAGCATTTTTGCATGTTTAACATTTTCCAATGTTTCCATTGGATTTTACGATTTTTCTACATAATACCATTTTAACTAAAAATCGCGGGATACTCACGTAAATGTACTGAGAAAAGCTCTACTAGTTTCGAACCACAGAGGGGTTCTTCCTTATAAGCATCGTGCGCGGTCACAGCGATGTCGCGCAGCCTACTGAGTAGGCTCAGTCTATTTACGTGAGTAACCCACGATTTTTAGTTAATTTAGTATGTCTCACGATAGTTATTACAAAAACATAATGACATTAATTGTCAAGTCTCACGTGGTGCTATGTTTCCATGAATATTAAGAGACCGGCTCTTGTGATATAGGGATACCTAGTACAAGAGCCAGGGCTTCACTGTGTTAATTGTATGAAGCGCTAATAAACGTTTTTTATGTTGTTTATTCTTAGAAAACTGTACGCTGCGTGCCAACAGCACTTGTGTTCTCGGTGCACATGCTCTCCACCGTCACCCGCTCTGGGGTCCCGATGCAAATGAATTCAAACCAGAGCGCTGGTTAGACTCCAGCACCTTACCAGATAATCCTGTCCTTTTCGCTGCCTTCGGTATTGGCAAACGAAACTGCATAGGTAAGATTTAAACAACTCATATTGCATTGTCAGTTTAAATAATTTTAACATATTCCAAAACTGTCTTGTACTGTATAACAATTAATTGATAGTTCAGAGTTGATATTTAAAACATGTAAAGTCGAGACGTCAGCATAAAATTATTGTGAATATTGCACACACACACACAACAATTTTATCCTGACTTCTCGACTCATCCTTAAAATTCGTGATATTTTGTACAAAAAGGGTAAAGACAAAAAATATGACATGTTTAATATTGTATGTGTACCTATTCAATTAACACCCTTTTATATCTTTTCAGGAAAATTGTTCAGCATTCTGATGATGAAGACAGCACTAGCACACATAGTACGACAATATCATATCTCTGGCAGTATTCATAATATAGATTGTGAATTTGACGTAGTTGTAAAACCGGTAAAAGGTCACCTTATTGGTTTGAAATTAAGATCTTAGAATTTTATCAAAATGGCTGTAAATGATAGAGTGAATGTGAAAAATAGGAAATAGTAATTTATTTCATAAGTTGTTTAAATGTATTTTATATGCTATTATACAATCAAAATACTTTTGGTTGCGTAGTTAAAACTAGAATGAAGTAAAATAAAAATAATTATATATATGCCTATTGACTTGGTAACAGTCTTATAAAGGTAAAAAATAAAGATAATCCATACTAGACCAGAACTAAAAAGGGCATATTTCTTAAAAGTGACTTTCTTAATTGAAATGTACCTCTAAATTACTAGAAAGAAGTTGTCGAAGTTGAAGCTTTTTATTCGATCTGGTTTTCTGGATTTGTTCGTGTGGTCAAAGAAGAAACAATCTTGTATGTCACTCTTCTCTTCTTTATACCTATTTTTAAACACAAAAGTCATACAACAAAATGTGAAAGAAAAGTCTTTCACTTGTATCTATTATATATCTACAAGCTTAACTAAAGTTAACATTATGTAATGTTAATTAGAGTTATATTTCGTATATGAGTTATTAATTTTATGCCACGACTTTTGTTATATTATTTTTCTCTGTATCACCACGTTTAGTCTTTGGATTTCTTTTGCCTCTCATTACCCTCAAGGATGTAGTAATCTTATACTATCAAGCTTCGTCTACGCTAGGTGAGCTGAGCATGAATAGAGCACTAGCCGAACACAATTCGTCTAGTATGAACTGACTTACAAGCCTTAAACGGGCGCGCTGCGAGTATTTCGGTCGTGCTCAGTTGCGTTTTGCCTGTTGTCGGTTTTTTGACGAACACAAAGAGATCTGCTTCGTGCTCGCAGTGCTCACTGCGAAAAATTACGTTCGAAGACAGTGATTGTTGTACGTCCACACTTGACGTCGCGAAAGACGAAGTCGAGAACAACTCTGCTTGTGCTTCGTTCGTGATCGGTTCGTCTAGCATAGACTTATCTCTAAGCAAATCTAAAGAGTTTGTTTGTATGAACGCGCTAATCTTATCTCCAGAACTATGGGGCTGATTTGAATAATTCATTTGTCGAGGAAGACTGTAAGCTATAAAACATCATGCTATGACGAATAGGAGCAGAGCAGCGAAAGAAACTGCACGCAAGTAGCTAGTATTAGTAATAATAGTATAATTAATGGGTGATGTGATACGTATATACTTAATAAAGTAAGCACTACCAAAGTATTTCTTTATAGCTGCTATATTGAAACTCATTGAATCCTTGTTAAATGTAAGTTATATGATACAATAAATCATTGTTAGAAGGGTTAATTGTTTTATCTATTTCTAAGGGATGTCGGCCTTCAAGACTACAGACAAGAAGACTTTTATGGTATTTTTTAAGGGGGGAAAATCATCGAATGACTTCTCCCACCTGGGTGAAGCGGGAGAGAGTGTAACGCTCATACTGACTAAAAACCACCCCGTTACTACTCCTGCACTTCGAGCCGGAGCCCGGGTAACCCGTTTCTACGCGACTGTTTTATGGGATAAGCTGGTAAACGAGCAGACGGATCATCTGATGGTAAGCAATTGGCGTCGTCCATGGACACCTGGAGCACCAAAGGCGTAACAAGTAGTTTTGGCATTAAGGATTTGATGATTGTTGGGAATTCAGGGATGAGGGAGGGGCGGGGACTGCGGGGAGTAATTGAAAATCCGGTTACCTCACTCCCACGACAAAACACAACGCAAGCGTTGTTTCACGTCGGTTTTCTGTGAGGCCGTGGTATCACTCCGGTTGAGCCGGCCTATTCGTGCCGAAGCATGGTTCTCCCACACTTGAATTACTATTACACTTAAATTACTTAAAGACGATACGACCTTGTTTAATTTATAGTTGACTGAAACTTTAAGTTAAAGTTCTTTTTTTATTGAATAAGAGGAAAAGAGTAGGTAATACATGTATCAGCTGAGGCCTTTGTATTAGATTGTTTTACATTAAAAATAATCGAAACGAGACTATGTTCCGCGCTCTGATTAGTCGGTTCATTGAACCCGTCAAGTGAGCACGTCAGAGGAATACTATAGGATACATTATTTCATCTTAGAATCAACAAGCTGTTGCACGCAATTTCGTCCACGTAGAATATGATTTCTGTTTGATCATTTGATCGGAATAAATAGTATCTTATCCCATAAGTCAGCCTGTACCGTAATTCATAAAAATATTAATATATAAATATAATTAAACTAAAATATATAAATAAATTAATAGATAAATAATTTCATTAAATCCATTCAGTAGTTTCAGAGCGATTGACGGACAAAACTCCATACATCCAAATACATATAACAACATAAGCATTTATGGCTGAGTGCACTATAACATCCCATAGAAAAATAACGTTCCATTATTTTGTTCTTTGAAGCTCGCTTCGTTCGTAGTTAGTAGAGAAGAGATATTTTGCTTTTGATTCTTCTGTAATGATGATGAATGGATAATTGCAACCACCTCTCATAACCTTTTTGCAGCTTACCACGTACCACATACATTTCTGCACTACCAAAAGGATGGCTGGCAGAGAATGCTGTTAGCATTAAGTCGTCCACGTAATTGTGTAAAACTTAAATAAATAAAAATACAACTTAAATAAATAAAAATACAAGAAAATAATGTTTTGCAATGACATCTTAAATAATTTTCATCAAACCAAGGAGGAGCTGATCAGACAACAACTAAAAGTCAAAGACTAAATAAAAATAGTCTACATTCATACGCTATAATGAAACATTGTGATATATAAAATTGCAAAATACTTTAGACCTATTTATATTTATACTCAAGTCTTAATTTAGAAATGATTCATTGCTTTTTGCAATAAAATTTTGTAGGTACCAAATTGACTTACCAAGGTTATAGTGTTGAAATCAAATGCCTTCTTTTTTAAACAGGTTCATATCAGGCATAATTATATTCTAGTGAATTCTTCTCATTGTATTCGATTTGAAGATTAGGAAGTAGCATAGGGCGACAAAGGAACAGAGAGATTCATGTCGATGTCGCCTAAATTCGACGTCTCTATTTTTATAGCATCAGCCGGTAAACGAGCAGACAGATCACCTGATGGTAAGCAATCGGCGTCGCCCTTGGACACTCGAAATACCAAGGCGTAACAAGTGCGTTACCAGCCTTTTGGGAATTGGGAATTTGAGGATTGTGGAGGATTCGGGGATTCGGGAGACGGAGACTAGGGATGTGGATGATGGGATGTAATGATTAGGTAATTGGGCCTCGGGTAACCTCACTCACACGACGAAACACAATGCAAGCGTTGTTTCACGTCGGTTTTTTGTGAGGTTGTGGTATCACTCCGGTCGAGCCGGCCCATTCATGCCGAAGCATGGCTCTTCCACATTTATCACAAGGGGAGTATTGCCGGTCGATTAAGGATTCATCAAGTGAATAGGGATAGGGCGTCGGTCATCGATTGACCTTGCATTAACCTCACTGACACGTCGAAAATCATCGACATTCCGTCACACTGTCTTTTGTAAGGCCATGGTATGTCTCCAGTCTAACCGGCCGTGTATGTATCGAGACCAAACATGGCTCTCCCTTATCAAAATGTTCGTCGTTCGTTTTAATTAATTTTCTACTATACCTAAAATATGTTTGAAATATCTCATTTAGTTTTTGATCAGGTTTATTATATTTTTAAGGACATAACATTAGCTTTTCACAAGCTTAGAGTGGAACTGGGCTAGTTATGTCAACCGCATGTTATTATGTGATGGGCCAAATTTGTTACTGAGTTAAGACCATAATATCATAGACATCCCGGTAGATCTGAAAAAATAATGGCAGGACAAACTCAACAATGACGCTAGTAAACTATTCGCACGAGGTTTGTTTTACTACCGCAATTTGGACAAGAGGGTCGGCTACAGAAAATTCCACCCAAAGAATAGTGAAAGGAGGGTAAGAAGACTTTTGCCAAGTAATGGGACGATCACTGTTGGAAAAATATTTAAACATATATATATGACTTCGACGATTCTTATGATTGCGACGAAAATAAAATACCAAATATTTTAATTACATCAAATATTGAACCTAATCATCGGTATTATAAAACTCAAAGTTAAATCATATCACTCGCACATACAGAGACTCGCACAGACTTATCAAAGGATAGATAGCCAAGATATCGGACAAGATATCAAGCGCACGGGCAAGTTCGGTTCCAGACCTATCAATGCATATGACAACTGAGGAATCGAGAATTACTTAAGAACATTCGGAATTAGAAATATCGGTAGGTAAAAAGAATAGAAGATAGACAAGCGAAAGTAGAAGATCGACCAACGGTGCTTAAGGAGTCAGTACAATTCTACAGTGATCAATACGTTGTTGTAACGTAAAAGCTAGAAAAGCAGTCAACAGATATAAAAGACGATTCTTTTAAAATCTGAGTTGGCCGAAATCAAGACTCTAATTAAAAAACTAAGATCTGACCTGAATAATGACCTGATCTGAATATAAATGAGCAAGGGATAGACTGTTAAACGTCAAGATCGTTGGAATACCTGAACATAAAGAAGAAAACCTGTGTGAAATAGTCTTAAATATTTGCAAACTTACAGAGAATTATAAAAAACAAAAAGATATGATTCATGTGAATAGGGTAACTCCAAATTGTAAGGCTCAAGGTAGGCCACAGAATAATTATTGCTAATTTACGTACGAGCCAGCTCAAGGATAATATAAAATTTAAAAATTCAAGGCAACGGCGTGACATCTCGATATTTTGTTAATCGAACATCTGATGACCACCAACAATATCTTGAAAACCTTGAATAAAATCTTGAAAAAAATTAAGGATATTGCTAAAATTAAACATAATATCAGTTTACATGGACAAAAAAAAACAAACAAAAAAACGAGAGAATTTACGTTACTATAACAACTCCAGCAGTTATTACGGACGAGGAAGATCTAAAGAAAATTGTTTAGTTCCTAGTGGCCATCAAAAAAATATGTTATCGGTGATTGTTCGTAATGGTTTTACTACTATGTCTTTGCAAGTAATTTTAATTAATATTAAACAAAGCAAAGTAGATTTTCGGATGATTGTGTGTCTGGTCTCAATTTATCGAGTTCTATGCGAGGTGCTTTATGTGCGAGTATCACGGTTAACAACACACACACACACACACATATCGTACGTAAGTAACAA